CTAGTAGGGCGGAGGAGCGATTCTGGCCCGATGTCAAAATTACGACTGGGGCGGGGCGTCGTAATGCGAGCCATAGGATCAACAGCGACACGCCCCATTTGCAACTCTGGCATCACGCCAACATCGCGAAACGCCCGCTTTCAGGATTTCTGTCAACCGTGAGGCTAAGCAATTCAGCGTTTGTAGTGATGTCTGGGAGCTCTCACACAAGCTTACTATTACAGATCTCTGCTTTCTTTATTTCCTTAAAAAGGCTTAGTCCTAATACACAAAGCGTAGGCTTACCATCTACACTCTCAATCTCTGGTCGACAGAAGACTTGTGAAGCCCCATTCGCGATTGCAGTCGCGAAATTTGACACCTTTCTTAGAGGCCAATTGACAAGTCTCAAGCTTATTCTTCGCCACAAGTTGCTGATATCTGCCTGTTGAAAGCACGAGGGTCACGTTAGAGGGGGTCCTCGAAATCGTCAAAGATTATGCCCTTGAAAAGCAGCTAGCAGCCGTCAGCCGAATATAGCAATAGGTCAATACGTTTTTGAATTAGCTCGTAATTCAGCAGACAGTTGATCACATTCAGAACATAGTGGATGTTCCAATAAGTGGACAATGAAGCAGGTTCACCGACAAAATGTGTAAAAATCGAATAGAGCACCTACCCGAGTGTTTCTATCCCAGTTTGTGATTTGTTGACAGGTGATTTGCAATGCCGGTGTGGGTGCAGTCGTACAGATGCCTTGGGCATTCGTGGTTACCAATAGGCTGACCAAACTGTACAGTAGGCTTAGCCACGGCATCACTTCACGTCGCTACAGTATCCTGTCCGCCTGAAGGTGTCAAGGATTACGAGCTGTCAGTAACATTCGGCCAGCATGGGTATACTAAAGATCAAACAGAAGTGACTAACAGAATCAATACTGAGTGAATAGCTCAAATCACGGTGATATGATATGATAGGTATGATGCTAGGTATTGTTGACAACTCGATTAAAATGGGTCAAATTACGGCGGTCAAAGCGATCTTCACACCTTTCAGTATTGTAAACTAGGCGTAGGTGATAAGCCAAAGCAGTTACACAGTTTGAGAAACGGCATGAAGATAACACGAAAAGCCTTTCTCCGAATTTTTCTCCAGACTCTGTTCTAACCTTTTTAAAGTGTTTCTTAACGGCTTAGGATTATGATAGGCTTTAACTTTTCCAAATGCCACTAACCATGCGTTTCCCTACTACCGCCCTTTAGATTGATATCGCCGTAATAGTCGAGGAATTTTAGATTGCTGGCGATCAATATCGCCAAATTTGATAATGATATTGTGTATTTCATGGCCTCGGATTGCTACTTGAACATGGGATTTTGCTCACCTATTGTTAAGAATTAAAGCAACAGTTCAGGAACGGTTTCGCGGGAAAAAACCACCAATAATGAAGTTGTAGATGAAAACCAGACGATTAATGTATGAAAAACTGGAAAAAAACGTCGGGGAGGGTCTTAGACAGGTACTCTCCCTCTGCCGCTCAGCAATGGATAAAGACGCACGTTGGACGAGTTGTCTGAACGTGCCCGCTGTAAACGCGCTCCATTTTTCAATCAATTTTCCCTGTGGTCCCAAAACGAGCACGATTGCCGACGCGTCCAATGACGGCCGGCAAGGGGGCGGGATTGGGGAAATCCCCAAGAACACCCATGTTTGAGGGACTTTCCACCCTGTTTTTGAGTTTCTGAGGTAAGTTCGTTTATTATTTCCACTGCATATGTTCTTCACTAGGGCTCGTGTATCCCTCAGTAGTAGTGGCATTGAAATTTTCGGACCCTCCCTGAACTGTTGCTTTTAATCCGTGATTCCATTGCGCACGCAAGTGTATGAAGAAGCCGCCAAGAAGCCGGATAGCCTCGCGTTGGCTTGGTGATTGAATGGTTCCTGAATAATGCAATCGCGAATTGTTATCAATTCTACTGCCTAAAACCCAATCCCACATTCGTCACTTTCCAAAACAGAGTTTGCCTGCGGCGCTCGCGTTGCGTTTCTCCGCTCGAGCGGGCTTTTGATTCTCCGTATAACATTGCCGAAGGTACTGAATCATTCTCTCCAATTCGTGAGAAAGTCTCTAAATCAGCGTTTTAGGAACCGGCTCAGTGGACCACGATCCGGCGAGGATCACGTTGAGTTCACCTTGTACTGCATGCCACCGAAAAACTGTGCACCGTGACTGTATATGATTTTGTAAAATAGGCTGATTATGTGTCACGACTCTTCGTCACTTTGATTGGATTTACGGTCAGCTCAAGCAGCGCGAATGTACCCTCGCCTTCAAATGACCAGAAATTGTGCAATTGCAGAAATTGACGTGGCATTAACGTGGCATCGATTCAAGAACATCTTTGAGCACACGTGATGTCACCTTTTCATCGAGAATTTAGCCACGTGTGCCAATGCCACGTCAATTTCTGCAATTGCACAATTTCTGGTCATTTGAAGCGTATAACTTATGAGACATTCCGAAAAGAACAGTGAGAAATGGTCGCGTGCGCCGCCGTAGTGCCACGGCGGTATATTCGAGTAAGGCATGAATGTCCCACACCCTACCGTAGACTGTTGAAGGTCTGGGAAATTCGGTTGGAGCGATGCATATTCCGACTTTATCTCAGGCATGGATGAGGGAACATTGAAAATTTCGAGTACAGAGGTAATGGTCCCGCAAAGCGGCAGAAATCAGAACATCTGCGACTCCTCGATGAATCTTAGTTGTCGGAGCTCGGATATCGCGAAATAGACGCTCCAGCAGAGTCAACCCTGCGTTGCGCAGTTCTCAACGGCCACGTTGCGCAGTTTCGCCCGATTAGACACGTTCTCTCGCGCGAACATTCACACTCGCATGCTCGAGCCGTCTGTGTCTCCGCCCATACAGCGTGCGTTGAGGATCTCTCAACGTGCCGTTGCGAACTGCGCAACGCACGGGTTGACTCTGCGCTCCAGCGACTGCGTTTAGACCTTGCGCAACCAACTTGCGCGGTAAGAAGCGATGCTGTGCTCGTCAAACTCCTCGTTGAAATGCACTGGAATGCGACCAAGCCGCCTACTAAAGATTTTTTGATGGATTGTCAGAGCGTGGAGGGCAAATTGAAGCCGACTCGCAGTGAACCATAGAGAAACTTTTTTTACTTATCGACAAATTTGGGAACATCAAGCTACGAGAGACCATCGTGAATCTCTTCATCACTATTATTCCAACCGCTCGACAGTATTAGAACGTAGCTGAGAGGTGCTTTTTCAAACCTGTCACCACGTTTGTTTACTAGAAAATTCAATATAAGATGTCATAACGGATTCGGCGTGGCGCGCATAGGCGTCGCGGTCTGATGATTACACAAAGGGTAAAGTTAACAGCCCACAAGTTTAGACAGCACTACAGTTCATCTGAAGCTGAGCTAATTAAAAAGTACCGCGCTACTCATCGATCAAAATCTAAAAATGGCCTTCAGATCTGAAATCAGCATCGAGAAGGCTATGCAATGCTATATGCTTTGCACGGTGAATTCATTCTGAAAATTCCTTTGATCTTAGCTTTTTATGATCAGGCGAGATCATGGCAGCTCCTTCGATTTGCGATCGATGGTTGTCGCCGCCGACCCCTCGTTTAGCCGTCTGCTTCTCCACAATGTCCACAGTCTCTCGACTTTTTGCCGGTCCCTCGATTTCGATGGGACGCGTTTTTTTTTCGGTGACGGCCATCGATGGCAGCATTGACGGTAGATCAAGGTGGTTACCGTACCGCTGTTGTGCGTTGGTGAAGATCAAGGGAAAGTTTGTTTCGAAGATTGTGATTCAAATTGTACATGATTCTACTGAATTTTCGATGCTGATGCAAAGAATGGATCTTTTGTTCCAAATTAACAAATTCGCAAGGAGTTGCTTCAATGAAGCGCACACGGTGCAAATGCACGGGCATGGCCCCTCCGGAGAATCGATCGATACGAGCGCTGCCATTTGTCTGTCGAACAAAGGCTTCCTCCCGATCTGGAAGAAAAATGACCTTATACTTCGGGCAACATACTGCGTGAACCTTCAGAGAGGCGCAATGTGGCTCGGGGGGGGGGGGGGGCTCGCCGCGCGCGATCTCTGCTCGTCCGCGCCCTGTAGTACTAAGCCTAGGAGTGGGCAGGAACTTTGGGAAGATGAAAATTGCTATGATCCTGGAGTTCCTCCTCCCCTGCCCGAGGCTTAGTCCCGATTTAGCGAAGAGGAAATGCTTACACAGAAAAACGTTCGCGCGCGGCGACTGGCCCCCTCCCCCCCCCCCGAGCCCATTGCGCTTTTAGAGGCAAATTTAAGTAGACGCACCGCGGCCATACTTCTCGTGACCTTCTAGAAAGGCGACGAATGATTGGATTTGGATCCACAAGATTGCTAGGTTATGGACAAAATTCTTAGGCTGGAATCGAACCCGCATCTGTCGCTTTCCGGGCAGATATGCTAGATTTACCCCATTGGGACACCTTGCTTCTGGCGTCGTCTCGGTAGGCCCCTCCATCACCACCATCACCTTTGGAAGAGTCGTAGAAAATACCACCCATTCTC